TTACGTTTTCATTTAATTACATTGACATACCGCGATAACGAGTAATCTTTTTGTGGCACTTGGGATTTTATTACAAAAAAAAATAGGAAAAACTCCAATTATTTTATCGCAAAGGTGACAAACATTGATAGTAGGTATACAGAAATGATAAGGAAAAATTGCAAACTTTTGGCACAGACAAATACAACATTAGTGCTCAATAAATTTCCTTAGAAAGAAAATTTTTTACAGAGGATCCTATTGAAAAACTACGTAAGGAGTTAATTAAAACCAATAACCACGTATACAAATTAACTATTGTTTGAAGATTATTTCCTTCTAGCGTTTAAAAGTGTGTCTCCCTAGTTTGTAACAATTTGTTAACAAACCGCTGTGGGATTTGTCGCATCAAAATAAATGCGACACGAAATCCATGGAGTATACCAGGATACCTTAGCGGCAACGGAGGGCGTCCCGCGCATTCCGCATGGACTGAGATTCCACGACATTATCCCTACGCAGTGCGGCACATCCTGCAGATAAGCGATCAATGGACCTCCACTGTCACCGTTGCAAGTCGTTTCGTTTCCCAACCTGTAACCTACAACGCAAATCTGGCTGTTATCAACTGTGGCGTACTGGCTCACTATCGAGTTACACTCTGCAAGGACACACTATAGTTGGGAATATACGTTAAATGTTACTACACACGATTGGTACTTATGATACTGGTTTGAGCCATTTGTAAATCAGGGGTAATAGCTGGATATGTGCTTCTTCTATAACCCCATCCTACTATCTCGACTACACCGTAGAATTCCTGGGCATACTCCGGTAGTCTAATCGAATTTATACTAGCGGATGGATCAAATGGATAACTGACTCGTACCAGGCCTATGTCATTCGGTTTAGTTCCGCTAAAAACGCTTTTCGTAAAGGCCACCAATCCAGAAGGGTAACTCACCCTGGAAATCGCGGATGCGAATACTGCCTCAACACCTTCCTTACTTGCCTGGAAGTGGAACTACTGATCAAATTTGTGATACCGGCAACGATCTGAACCTCGCTTAACGCATACTGCCTAGCGAAGATAACGCAATGTGCGGCTGTTAACAGCCACACATTGGTCAAAATTACACACGCACAAAAATGGCCATTGATCACATGCTGGTAAGAAGTTACAAACGGATATTCGCCATCCGGAGAACTAACTCCATTCGCGATCCGTTTGTGGCTCGACAAACTGTAACGGGTGGACGCTACAAACACAGCGTTAAAATCTGTAAGGGCATCTAAAAATTGTTTACCAACGGTGCTACCCAAGTATATCAGACCAAAAAGCAAGAGTTTCATTATTGCACTGCTTATCTTGTATGATTTTTTCCATTTTTATTGCAATGTTTAATCTCGAAAAAAATCCTCTCATAAATCCATAATCTGCCCGTGTTGAGCCATTTACAATGGAAGTGTACTTAAATGCCTTTCAGTTCAAAATTTAACATTCTGCAGACCAGAAAGTTATCAAAATAAACAATTTGTCCTATACTGTAAAATCTGGAGCGTAAAAGTTGGAATAGAGGGGTTTTAAAAAATTCGCAAAATAGTGGTGGTTAAAGTTGAAAAATTACATTGGTGGTTCACGTATTGACACACTAAATAACAGTCTGATTAGTGAACAACATTTTTATTAATCCAGATTTTCCTGGAAAAATCTTTGATGTACGCTTTCATTATTAATGTCAATGGCACAGAAGGTTTCATGTTTTATCCATGGGGGCTTACCTTCTCTGCTGTGCTAGTTTTTCTTAGTAATTTTAATACACTCTACTAACAAAGCAGCTTCCCTGATTACTCCAAATTCGTGGCGCAATTTGTTTACAATTCACGGAGGGGCTAACCACTGTGGAATTCTGGTGTATAACCTCTTGGAATTGATCGAATTCTTATGGAATTCACGGAACTCTTTTGGAATTCACGGAATTTTTTTAGAGTGTATGAAATTATCGATGAATTCCAAGTCTTATTGCAAGCTATTATAGTGAAGATTGTGGCTTCTTTTAATCGCTCGGTATGACTGTAGGTATCTTTTGTACGGAACTAAATTCATCTCATCCGTCACAACGTCACGAGGCGCTGTTCGGAAACGGCTTGTTTCTTCTTGCAATTAAGAATGAGAAAAAGCTCAACAAATACGTTTTCAATTATGTTTATTTCGACGACAACAAAAACAAAACCTTTTCGTTAGGTACTATATAATATAATAACTTGATTTTTAATCAAATTGCACCAACATAGCTGGCCGCATTAAACAATTCGTTTAATTATTCATCTTCATTAAGCAATTGACTTAAATTACGTACCGTCCGCTTATATAGTCCAGATTTTGTTTTAATAGTCGCGACTCTGATGATGTGATCATTACCGGGATGAACTTCGATAACTCGTCCAATTTTCCAGTGCGCAGGAGGTGTATTATTTTCTTTAATTAACAGTCCCTGGTTTGACATTATCTTGTGCTGTTTTCCATTTTGTACGAACTTGGAGATCTCCAAGGTAGTCCCTTGACCAGCGATTCCGAAATTGTAGCTTTTTTCTATTCTATAACTTTTGATTGAGAAGTCTGATCGAAAAAGTACGAATTGTTTTGGATTCTACGCACTAAAATTAATAAGAAAAAGTGTTTTCCCGAGAAATTTTGGTGCAGTCGATTTTTGGAAAAAAGGAAGGTTATACACTGCCTTTTTTTGCCCCGAAAAAAAAATTGTCTCAGATCGACCCGGAAAAAAATTTTTCTTATAGAACGTGGCCTGTAGAATCCATAATTTCAAACAGTTCCAAGATTGGGCTACTAGTTCAAAAGTTACAGCTAGGGAATGCAATCCCGCAGCAAAATCTCAATCCCGGTATTTGCGGGATCGTTAGATGTTAATCCCGCAAAATTTTAAATAAATTGGCAAATAAGCCATTTTGTACGGTTAACTTCTGCATTAAAATAAATCGCTAATTATCACAATAAGTATTCAACAAAAAAGTACCTTCAGGCTAACTTAGAACTCAAAAATTCACCTGTAAAGCACAAATAGGTGAACTTCTAAAGTGCCTCAAAAATCATAGTACATTTTTAACGAAAAAAGTTTAACAATTATTTTAAAAATAATTTCTCCGTTATGCGTTTCATTAACAAAGCAAACAGAGTCGTTCCTTTGGTCGACAAATTCCTCAGTCCCGCAAATCCCGCAAAAATGCTGCGGGATCCCGGTATTTCGAGATCCCGCGATCCCGGTATTGCATTCCCTAGTTACAGCCCTTTGAATTTTCTTTCGAAATTGGTTTCTAGTAAGGCACCGATTCTAACTCCCAAAATTTTGCAAGTTGTTCTTGTAATATAAAGTTTTCTGAAACCTTCACTACATTACACGCAATAGTATGATCATTTTCTTTTGAATTTATTGGTCCTGAAATAATCCATCCTAAAGAAGTAACCCGAAAGAATGCCGCGTCCCCCAAGGATGACACATATTGATCCTTACTTAACTAATTCGCGCCTTTTTTCAACATCATGTCTAGTAATTAAGTGAGCGATCTTTCTAGATCTAATTGAATTCGCCATGACCCTCCGAAGTGCACCCCACTTCGGCGAATTCTTAAAAAAACTACGCTCTCAATTTTGCAAAATTGTATTATGACATTGTAAACCAATTATCTCGGTGCCTATAGCGCGCTCGCACCTCCAGATTCGGTATGGGGTCTTATGGACTATAATTGCCTCTCTTACTAGTTTGCGTCAGTCTTCGATAATACTATCCTTGTTTCTAACCGCATTGATGTCAAATTGACATATGATTAAATGGAAGTATAACAATAGTTATTTACATAATAAGTCATGAAAGTGGTCGTTTACATGACGCGGAGGCTTATTGAAAAGTACGAGGACGGCTAGCGTCCGAGTATCTCTTTAATGCCTCCAAGTCAGGTAGACTCACTTTCATGACATATTATGTATAAAATTTTACCTGAAACCGCAACATGTAGAAAATTTTTCGAAATTAAATTATTCATGTGTGAAATTTTGATACCTAATCACGCATGCTAAAATCACTTTATTGAATTGTTTCCATAGAGATTTCAAAATAATTAAAACAGTCAGTGTCATTTTTAACGCAGTTTTCAGTTTATACTTTGTACTTTTCAACTATACAGTCTTTATAACTAGGTACAAAAGCAGGTATCAGTGAAGAAGAGTACCTATGCAAGACGTTGTTATAATTAGCCGAAGCTGCGGCCGCTGTAGTGAAATATTCGCTCCCCACAAAGTCAAAAAAAAGGTACGAAAAGGCGTAGAAACCTTTTAATGACTGGCGCAAAACTAAAGGAATAATTACTTCCACACATATTCCATTAATTGTTCGTAATAAAAAACCATTATCCTTTGTGTAGGTATATTAATATTTAAAAATATCCACATAGTCTGCATTATAATTATCCCATCGTTGATTGAATAACTTATTCAACGAATGATCTAATTGTTATTTTGCATGTACTAGGACTGTAATGGGCGTCAGGTAAAAATATTACAGTACTAGTCAGGTAAAGATCAACTTTCTAATGTCAAAATAGCCCTGAAATTTAGATTTTCTTGACGGTTTCAGGTAAAACATAATCTCTTTGTGCTGTCATTGTCACGTTTGGCAAGCATGTACTGTATAAGCACCATACTGAATTTGGAGGTGCGAACGCGCTATAGTCATTCTATGCAATAAAAACCCTCCTGAGATAAAATTACCTCTTTTACCTCCGACTCCGCGAGCCTGCAGATTCCGGAACCCAATATGAAAACAATTCTCCATAGAAATCAAAAGACGCAGAAAAGACGTTGTTAATTCCACTACTCACTTACGAATCTTTCTTTACAATTCCAACAATCGTACTATTTATACACCCTGTACGATAAGTGATGCCTAACTTAAAATCTCAAAACACTTCGAAAAAATAAATCCAAATTGAGAACTACGGATTGAATAAACGCGGATTCCATGAAAACAAAAATCGGCAATTCTGTCAAATATCAAACATGGAAGTGCAATATGTGTACCAAAAAAAACGTACAGAGTTTGGTCGGCAGTGTGTATTCAGCGACAAAGGTCCTGACTTGATAGACAATTATCCCTCCAACTGGGTCCTGCTTGAAAACTACATTCTCAAGTGAGAAACTCACGATGATACAGTTACTCACAACTCGTATTCCAGAGATCCATTCTCGCAAGGAACCCAATGCAATTCCATCCTAGCGGAGCACGACGCGAACACAACGCGGGCCACTTTCGTTCACTCCGGCATGAATCACACCGAGGGCGGATGGCCTAAGGACATAAACAAGGAAGACGAGGAGCAGACCAAACGATACCGTCGAAAAATTGAGAAGGAAGACTCGTATAATCCGATTCTTATGCATCTGTGCAAAGTAAGGGTGGAAATTATCTCCTTTGCTCACTTGTGTCCATTCCAGAACATGGAGGACTCAGTATTACAGAATAATTCCATCAATATCTACCAGCAGTACTTTTCCGATGTTGAACCAACTCCGCTCGTGGAGAAAAGTTCGGCGCGTATCGTCAACGTGTACCAAGATCAGTGCCCTACGAAACGAGTGGTTAATCGTATCTCTTGGTCGCCTGATGGCGGTACCAAGTTGGCGGTGACTCATTGCGATCTTAAATTCCAGCAACCATTTGATATTCCTACGTCCCATTCGTACATTTGGGATATCGGTGCGGCGTTACGTCTCATTTGAGTACCGGCTCACTTCCTGATTGCAGAAAATCCCAATCGCCCACTCCTGATCTTCCAGCCGAAATTTACCCCGATGGTTTGCTTGGAGTATCACACGAAAGATGTTAACACGCTCGTGAGCGGGCAGTTGAGTGGAAGGCTGGCCGTGTGGGATTCGCGCAAGGGTTGCGGGCCGGTCAATAGAAGTCTGACGGAAGTAAGTCATCGCGAACCCGTGATGTCAGTGTTGTGGATCAATTCCAAATCTGGTTTGGAGTTTTTCAGTACTTCAACCGATGGACAAGTTAAATGGTAACGAAGAGTTATACGCGTGCATTTCACTTGAAATTACAGGTGGGATGCACGGAAACTGACGGAACCCTTGGAAACGCTGATACTAAGCTCTCCGGGACAGATTATACAAAAAGCAATGAGCGCCTCGTGCTTGGAGTATGAAACAACTATTCCCACCAGGTTCATGGTGGGCACGGAGAAAGGTGTCATAATCTCGTGCAATCGCAAAGGAAAGTCACCTAGTGAAAAAATGGCCCTCCGATTCTCGGCGCATTTAGGCCCGGTCTTGGCTATACAACGTAACGCAGCGTATGTAAAGAATTTCCTCAGCGTCGGTGATTGGACCGTTCGAATATGGTCCGAGGATTGTAAGGAAAGTTCGATTATGTGGACCTGCTACCATAGGGATCGGTTGACTGACGGCGCCTGGAGCCCCACTAGGTAAGGGAGGTGGTCTGATTCCAGTCCTAGTTGCACGTTTTCCAGAGTGTCTGTATTTTTTACGACACGGAGCGACGGTTCGTTGGATGTATGGGATATACTGCAGCAACAGGAGCGGGCTTGTATTAGCATGAAGGTCAGCGACGAACCCCTCAGTTGCCTACGTGTTCACGAACAGGGTCGTTTGGTTGCCGTTGGTAACGTGAGGGGCACCACGAACTTGGTGCAATTGAGCGAGAACTTGTCCTACAGTACTAAACTAGACAGAACGTTACTAACTGCGGTACCACAACCTGACGGTTAATGAGAAAATATTGATTGCCCCGAATTGTTTAAGATGTTTGAACGCGAAAGCAGGCGAGAAAGAATCTTAGAAGCTCGCAATAGAGAAATAAAGCTAAAATTGAAAACAAAAAGCGGCCTTGCTGTTGGAGCGGACAGTGTTGCTGTTATGGAAGTTACGGAAACGGTGGAGAAAACTGTAGCAAGCGATCCCGAAGTATATGCCAGCGAAGAGGAGTTCTTCAGCATTATCAGTGCTGCAGAAGCGAAAGGTTGAGGATCATCCGAATTGATTGTATCAGTCTAACAAGCCTTCTTTTAGATACACTTAAATAGGAGAGACTCTTTCGGCATTGGATTAATGTTGTGATTTATAAGTTTTATTTATTCCATTTCACTTTAAGTATACGTTAACCAGTAACACCTTGATGATTTTTTGTTTGTTATGGTGTCTTTGGAGAACTACCAAGTAAACTCTTTTTTATATAGGTAGTTTCTCGAGCGGTTTGCTCGGATCAAAAAATCTTTTGGGTTGCTGTAGATATTATTGGAACTATGAAATTGCTCTATCACACTTTACACACGAAAATTCCCCAAAAGTAAGAATTCTTCCAAGAATAATGGATCGTTCTAGAAAGTTATGAAAATAGCTGGCATCTTTAGTTCGTACCAACACAAGATATGTGTTTCTTGTCGGTACAAGTACAGAGTAAAATGAGTACATGTTTTAAAAACGGAAATTTTATCATTAATCTCATATTCGAAACAAGTCAACCTGCTAAATATAAATATTCATTACTGCGTTAATTAACAAAACAAAGAAACATGTCGTGGCATCAAAATATTAGTGTAAATTAATTAATTCAATAACAAGTGCAATTATGCCAGTCTTGACCTAACGCAACTCGTCCCCAGTTGAGTAAGACCCCGTAGAGAATGGCGTGTATAGGAAATGAAATGCTAAAAAAAAAATTCAATTATAAATAAACCACTAGATGCCGATGTCCAAACTGCGGCAGCCAAAGAACACGAATACGCCGCATAAATACATATTTGAATTCTAGTTTTACCAGTTCTTCGAAAACGTATGCTAAAAATTCGCGCCTTTTTTAAGAAAGCAAAAACCACTAATTTTTAAATCAAACTTAGCGCACAAAGTTGGTTCCAAGTTTTGAGTACCATTTTTGACAAATCAATTTTTCCACCGTTTACTACTCTTGATCCATCGTATAAGCTTTTCTGCAGTGCGATTACACTGTATAGCTGCAATAATTAAGGCACCAGTGAATTACAGAAAATGAATTGAATTAATAGAAACTTTTGAGCTATTTTGATCGCAGCATCCGCAGTGCGTAATTTGATACTTTTATTAAATTGGAACAATTACAAGCAAAGTTATTCGAAAAATTTAACCAAGAATTCTTAAAAAATGAAAAATGGATCAAAAACACAAAATGTTAATGGGCTGGAGCCTAGGGCCTAAGATTTTAAATACGGCCAATTCACCCAAAATTAATTTTTTTTGTTTATTATTCCCGTAGCAACGAATTATTGCTTTTGTATTCCATGCACTCTAGCTTTTCGCGGAACACGCAGTTTTAAGAGAAACAAAGTCGCTTAATTGAGCAAAGTTATGCAGAGTGGTATTCTGATTAATTTTTCTTTTCAAAGTCTCTTGTAGCTTTAGAAATAGCGAAGTTATGGCCAAAAAACTGAAAAAAGTCATTTCCGAGAACGCGCTATCAAAGATAGCAAAAAATAATTTTAACAAACCCTTAGTAATTTTCCCTAACCTTTCTGACGATGCCAAAATCAAATTTTAATGACTTGTCGGTTTCGAGTCAATCACATCAACTTTCTTATTCCTCATGGACGTCATAATGAATTTTTACACTAGATAGAGAAAAAAATTACAAAATCAGAGATACCAAATGCTCAATATTTCATTCATAATTTAATCTTGAATTTTTGCATTGAATTTAATTTTATTATATGGTCATAATTCCATGGCCGTATTTATGGATACTATGCTGGAAAATAAACAAAAAGTGTTCAATAATTTTAAACAAGTCATGGAATTATTGCTATAAGAAATAGGTACATTGTAAACTTCAATGCAAAAATTTAAGATTAATTTCCGAATGAAATACTGACTATTTGTTATCTCTGATTTTGTAATTATTTTCTCTATCTAGTGACGTAAAAATCCAATATGTCATCTGTAAGAAATAAGTTGTAGAAAGATGAGAAATATTCACTAAGGGTTTATTAAAACTATTTTTTGATATTTTTGAAAAGAAATGAACGCCAGGTCGCCAGCGCAATCTCGAAAATCACATTTTTCTGCTTTTTGACCAAAACAAAGATTTTGAAACGTAAAATTTATTAGCATACAATTCTGCATTACTTTGTCTACTTACTCTTGCGGTTTACGAGATCCCTACAGTGAAAATGAAAATCAGGCGTGAAATTCTTGACAGAACAGCTTCCTAACTCAAACCAGATATTTAAAAAAAATCTATTTGACAGTCTTACATCCTTTGTCTAATAAACACGGCTGGCATCAAAATAACCATTTTGCCGAAACAAAATTTTTAACTTGGACATTTTTTCTCCGTTGTTTTTTCTAATAAAACCTACCATAATTTAATAGGGTGTACTCGTATACAGAACAAGAAAGTCTTTCGAATAGTTTAATAGAAATGTTGCGTTTCTATTTGAAGAATAATGTTCGATGCCCTTACGACGCTCCAAAATTTTTTTCCGTATGCGTAATATACAGATCTAAAATTTTAACAAATCCCTCCAGCCATTATCTCGGAGAAAAATGTTATTCTTTAAAAGTGCCTAGTGAACGCCGGCACTTGATGAAATTTTGACATGTTCAAAAAACGTTAACCGCAATAGGCACCTAGATGAAGCTAGAAAGCTAAAAACTCGCCCTGTATAAATAGAGACAACAAATAATCTTTAACAAAAAGCTCAATATTTTAGTACTTTACTGCAGTATACTGAATAGTCTAACGTCTCTAGGTATATGAAAAATTACTAAACGCTCTGTAAAACATACTTTTGAGATGATGAAATTTTAAAATACTCCAATAGCGTTCCAATATTACAGTTTAAATTTAATAGTTTTGTGTAAACTGTTCATATTGGTGTAAGAATTTTTAAAGCATACCTACCTTTCTGCACCTTACAACAGTACATGATTTACCGTTTTTTAGTTCAATAGTTACCCAAAACTCATTTCTCGTGTAATTTGCCCTAACCGTGGGTTGTAAAAATAATCTAGAAACTATAGTCTCGGAATTCTCAGAATCTTTAGCCTTCCTAGTGTTCTCGTTTCAGATTCTTCAAAATCGTTCAATATTTTCACGGTTTTGAAGACTAAGTCTTTACTAAGACATTTTGGGCTTCCAGGGGTCTTTCCAACTATTGTAACTTTCGGAATTCTTATATCCTTCGGTTCAATAACCCATCGCTCAATTGGTCTCCACAAAATGTGCCATATAATTTGTTAGTCGTTTAAAGATCAACTTACTTAGTGAAACATTAAGCATATTTGGTTTTAAGGGAACAGATTATTACCAAAATAGTGTTCAAATTATGGCATATTATTTATTCATGTGGCAACCACACCTCCTTTCAGATGGCAATGTAAAAGTAATCAATTTTGTACGTAACAATGCTAATCAGGCTATCCCAACTTCTGACATCCGAAAATTTGTGAGAATCCCAGAATTTCACAGAAGATTCCTAATTCTAAACCTAAAGACATTGTTTTACCGCGATTCATTTTAGGTGAAGTATAAACCGTGTCTGTGCGTTGCTGAAATAGAAACCATTCGGTGATTGCAATAATCTGGTAATAGCACACGAAGATCGTGTTTTCTGTTATCATTTGTATTTCCTGTGACAACACCGCGACAGCATGTCGTAACACACAATTATGCACGATTTAAAAACACAAAGCAGGTGATCCAATTTATTTACATTGGAGTTAGTACACATGATTCTAGTTTTTAGTTTTTTTCAAGTTATGAAGCTGGCAAATGCATCCGGCGAGTGAACTAGCAATTGCACTTGCAGTACCGTTCATTGCCAAGCACTTCTGGGCGATCGCGTTCGCCTCGGTACTGTTTCCACGTTTTTCGACCATTTTTTTAACCACCTGTTGGTTTATAGTCCCGTTGTCGTTCAAAATCGTCTTCTTCTTCAACATGCATTCCGCAAACGCGCTCAACTTGCCTCCCTCGAACGAGCACTTCTCGAGCGCCTCCTTGACCTCTTCCTTATCAGCGCCTGAAGATTTCAGGCACTCCTTGTCCATATACTTACAGCGTTTGCCGAATTTATTCCCCTATTCAAATCGTAACAGAATTGAGCTAAAGCAAAAGGGCACACTTACACCAATTTCAAGAGTGAGGCATAACGCGAAAAGCACAAATATCTTCATCATTGTAGATTTAGTGGAAACTTTGCGTATCTACTAAATTGCTCGATGTATTTATACTGAATACAACAATTGACAATTGTTCATCGGTAGCCTTGTATTTTTTCTGGACAGTACCGATGGTCGCGTACGTAAAAAGGTTGGTCCAGGCTAATGAGGTATTTCCTTTGTAAATGATAAACATCTTTTGACATATTATTTTTGATCCGTTTCAATCCATTACATGATGAGCATTAAACATGAATCATTTCATTCTATTTCAAATACCAACACATGCTTAAGTCCTCTCGCTTGCTCGTACTGAAAACTCAATTGGTACATGAAGAAATGCAATCAAGAATTTTGGAGAAATTTTAACTGATAACTCAGGATAGGTGTGTAATGGTTTCATAATTTTTCGTCCCTTAGGTTAATCTCCAGGGTTTGAAGGATATGTTCGTAAAGCAACATTTCCGCCCTCAATTGTTACTACTCAAATATGACATGTTTTTGTCCCATATCTTACTTTATGAAATTATATTACAAGCTTATGACGCAGGTGGTAATAAATGAATACAGCAAATAATTATAATTCCAGTATTTGTCTCGTAGTACATTAACATTTTAATAACCTTTTATGAAGTGCAATAGAACTAATCCATGCAGGTTTATGGCAAGTGTTTTACTGTTTGTGTAATGATAATTCAAATTTTCCGCGATAAACTGTCTGTAAACAATTCATTCTTTATAAAGTATATAGGTAATTAGATTATAAACACTTTGTACACCTTGGTTCTACCAAACCCCAAACATTGACTACAACGTGAGTCTACGCAACAAAATTAATAAGAAAAAGTGTTTTCCCGAGAAATTTTGGTGCAGTCGATTTTTGGTAAAAAAGGAAGGTTATACACTGCCTTTTTTTGAGCCCGAAAAAAAAATTGTCTCAGATCGACCCGGAAAAAAAATTTTCTTATAGAATGTGGCCTGTAGAATCCATAATTTCAAACATTTCCAAGATTGGGCTACTAGTTCAAAAATTACAGCCCTTTGAATTTTCTTTCGAAATTGGTTTCTAGTCTATAACTTTTGATTGAAAAATCTAATCGAAAAAGTACGAATTGTTTTGGATTCTACGCACCAAAATTAATAAGAAAAAGTGTTTTCCCGAGAAATTTTGGTGCAGTCGATTTTTGGTAAAAAAGGAAGGTTATATACTGCCTTTTTTTGAGCCTCGAAAAAAAAATTGTCTCAGATCGAACCGGAAAAAAATTTTCTTATAGATTGTGGCCTGTAGAATCCATAATTTCAAACAGTTCCCAGATTGGGCTACTAGTTCAAAAGTTACAGCCCTTTGAATTTTTTTTCGAAATTGGTTTCTAGTCTATAACTTTCGATTGAGAAGTCTGATCGAAAAAGTACGAATTGATTTGGATTCTATGCACCCAAATTAATATGAAAAAGTGTTTTCCCGAGAAATTTTGGTGTAGTCGATTTTTGGTAAAAAAGGAAGGTTATACACTGCCTTTTTTTGAGCCCCGAAAAAAAAATTGTCCCAGATCGACCCGGAAAAAAATTTTCTTATAGAATGTGGCCTGTAGAATCCATAATTTCAAACAGTTCCAAGATTGGGCTACTAGTTCAAAAGTTACAACCCTTTGAATTTTCTTTCGAAATTGGTTTCTAGTCTATAACTTTTGATTGAGAAGTCTGATCGAAAAAGTACGAATGGTTTTGGATTCTACGCCCCAAAATTAATAAGAAAAAGTGTTTTCCCGAGAAATTTTGGTGTAGTCGATTTTTGGTAAAAAAAAGGAAGGTTATACACTGCCTTTTTTTGAGCCCCGAAAAAAAAATTGTCTCAGATCGACCCGGAAAAAAATTTTCTTATAGAATGTGGCCTGTAGAATCCATAATTTCAAACAGTGCCAAGATTGGGCTACTAGTTCAAAAGTTACAGCCCTTTGAATTTTTTTTCGAAATTGGTTTCTAGTCTATAACTTTTGATTGGGAAGTCTGATCGAAAAAGTACGAATTGTTTTGGATTCTACGCACCAAAATTAATAAGAAAAAGTGTTTTCCCGAGAAATTTTGGTGCAGTCGATTTTTGGTAAAAAGGGAAGGTTATACACTGCCTTTTTTTTGAGCCCCGAAAAAAAAATTGTCTCAGATCGGCCCGGGAAAAAAATTTTCTTCTCATTTTGTGGTTAATTAACATTGCTTAGCTGAATATAGTGCATCATCTAAACTACTTTATTATAGAAAACGTTTGTAACGGATGTTCGACACTGCGTACAATCGCCTAACGAATCCCGCTTTCCCGCTATTTACACTCATATTTATAGGTATCGCTTGGGTTTCAAAATGAAAAATCTTTTCGTAGTTTATTAGTAAGTCGTTTGTAAGTGTTTGTAATTCCAAAAATTTCGTTTGTAATTCACGCGGTATAGAGATTTTCATGTTTCAAAAATCCACTGCTAAGTTCCTGGTAGCAGTGACTTCAGTTGGTATTTCTCAGGGAGGTAGGCGCAAATAAAACAAACAAAAAAGTGGCATATTGCAACCCAAATTTGCATTTCGTAAGTGTGCATGTACAAGATATTCCCAATTTCGCCAAACGTTTTTTTGTATACGTACATCCAATGTTCCATTTCTCTGATCATATTCAAACAGCGAAGTATCACTCGTTGCTAGGAGCAGAGAAACGTAAAAGAGGCAGAGAAAGTTTGCTTCTTTGCCTCTTTTCCGATTATCTGCTTCTTTTGATTTCTATATCTGTGTTGACTAGCCGTTTATATACAACCAATCCCCGCATACTAATAAAAAAAAATGTAGTGTTCACCACGGACGAGTGAGAGTCGCTGACGCTTCGAGATTTAAAAAAATGCGTGTAGAGAGGATCAAAATAGGCACTTTTTTTTCCAAATAAACCGAGGGTCCCTCATAAATGGGGGTGCGAAAAAATTCTGATTTCGACGAAATTTGGATCTGGGGGTTTTTGAACATGAAAATCATGAATCTGAAATTTGTTTTTGAAAATTCGAAAAAAATTCCCCTGCTATTCTTGACCGGGCAACGATAATGGAGAGAATTCCACGAAATTTGTTGTGTACATGAGTTAAGGAATAAAATTGTCGAGCAGTTTTTTTTAAATCACTTTTCAAACAAAAGTTATACTCATTTGATGATTGGTCCTTCGGGTCAGAAAGATTCCCACCGCCTACTAGTGAGTCGTCTAATTTCGCATGTTGTTAGTTGAAAATGTCGCAAATAACAAAAAATTAACGATTTAAGTGGATATTATGAATTTGATGTCAAAAATCTGATTCATGATTTTTAAGTTGAAAACCCCCCAGATACCAAATTTGGTCGAAATCGGAACTTTTTCGCACCCCCGTCTAAGGATACGCCTTTTCGTGGTCAGAATTTTGAAAAAAATTGCAAAATCGGAAAGGGCATACCCAAAAACCTATTCAAAATCGTGCCACCAGTCTTCTAACTCTTATGGTTGCTGAGAAAAATTAAAGAAGAAATGCAAATTTCACCACTTTTTTGTGGGTGGCTCCCAAATGAAACACGTTGGATCCTCGGTTTATTTTTACACTCTGTATATCGAAACGCGGATCACATAATTGTTTAATTTCTCGCATTATTTCCGTCTGCTTTTATCACATGGAGAGAGCGCATGCGCACTCTCTTACATCTATGCTTATACCACGAGCACCTGTTACGCAGCCTCCTTCTTTTTCACACGGAACAGTACGGTTGCCGCAATTTTAAGTAGTGCGAGAGAGAAAAACATGAGTATTATTCCGTGTGAAAGAGAAGACGCAGCGTAAAAGCTGATCGTGGTGTACGCTCTGTCCATGTGATAGAAGCAGCCAGAAATATTATTTACATTAATTTTAATTAAGGGTAGCCTTAACTTAATTTATTTAGGCAACCCATTTGCAATGTGTTTAGCATGGTACAAATGGACATCTCTCCCGTGTAAGCTCTTTGACTTAGCTTGAACAACAATCAGGTACTCTTCGATACCTTTCGGAATCATTCCATAAACCAAATTCATTGACCGAGTCTGTGCCTACTGAAAATGAAACTATTCAAGGTTCTTCTGTTTTAAATGTCTCGAAAAGCGTCAGTGGAATGTCGGCTGGAGCCACTTATACCTATATTCGGTGTGACAGAAATAGTTGCCAGTTTCTACTGGGAGTACACTCCCGAGAATGATTCGGAATCAACAGTAAGAAGTGACGAATGTTCTGATAACTCCTCAGAAATAACTAAGAAAGTAATTAACCATAATAAATTTGGCAGTAAACTGGAGGCGCGAGCAGGTGAGGGTGGGGGATAGTCATAGGAAGGTTTACAATTTGGAAGTTTTGAGGAAAGCAAGGCAGAAATTACTTCAAAGATATTTCAAGTACTTTGGACCCTTTAAGCTCGCTACAAAAACTCAAGTATTTTGGGAGTTACAAATACTTACTAACGACTTACTAACAATCTACGAAAGGATTTTTAATATTGAAAAATTTCCACTGCTAACTTCTTGGAGGCGTATCGCTCTTGTACAATATGACCCAGTCTTACAACGAGGAATGATTTAAATATTTACTATGCGCTATTCCAAACTTTTTGTTACTTAACATACTTTAACTCGACTCTCTTCGCTCTTTAATTACAATGACCCGCTTCATTTACCTCATCCTGAATATATAATACGTAGTGCAGTTTATCTGAATTAAAATTGCATTTTTAACTGCGCCTATTACTTTATATTGCTAATTCTAGTTTAGGTTCCTTACGGTTAAATAAAATATACAAAAATATGATTCAAATTTGTTCCGTAAGGGGAACTACGTAAGCCACAACGATCACTCGACACTCGAAAGCAGCTTTAATGTTACCCAAAACGTTACTTCCTTAGCAAATTAAATTTGACATACTTCCAGAGGACTTCCGCCATATTACACCGTGTCGCAAGATCAGGAGTACATATGCAGCAAAAGGGATCATTCCGGAATGCACCAGTGCGCCGACTTTCCGCCGTACAAGATCGGTAACGTTACCTGCAACTTGACGTACGCGCAGGGACAGGATCCGGCGATACACGGCTGCATAAATTGGAATCAGTACTACGAGGTGTGCGCGGAGGGCGCCGACAATCCGTTTCAGGGTACCATTTCGTTTGATAACATCGGCCTGGCGTGGGTTGCGATTTTTTTGGTAACGCTGCCTTTCAAATTTTGCGCGGTTTTCACGCTCATTGCAGGTCATCTCGCTGGAGGGCTGGACTGATATTATGTATTACGTGCAGGATGCCCACAGTTTCTGGGATTGGATTTATTTTGTGCTTTTAATAGTCATAGGCTCGTTTTTCATGATTAACTTATGCCTCGTCGTAATTGCCACGCAGTTTTCCGAAACGAAAAAGCGCGAAATGGAGAGAATGAGACTTGAACGTGCACGTTTTCAAAGCACAAGCACCTTGGCGTCGTCGACCAACAATAGTGAGCCGACGACGTGTTACGCCGAAATTGTTAAGTACATTGCACATTTGTGGAGAAGAAACAAGAGGAAAATTGTCAAGAAGATTCGTTTACTTAGATACCACCGAGAGCAAAGGCGCGAGAGGAAAATCATAGCCGGCGAATCTATACGGCTTAACTATAATAAACGACACCACCCTTGCTGTCCCCGACTGAAACCCGTAAGTTCTGTCGAATCCCTAATCCCATTTACCCTTGCCTTTCAGCAACAGCAACAATCACCAAGTGTCCACGCTGTGTCACGCACAAGCTCTATGTGCTTCTCCGATAACCAAAAGGAGCACAAAGGAGACGATTCAGATACCGCAGTAAAAAGACCCAGCTTACTAAGGGTCCCCTCAATTTCCCATCAGGATATCACAACGAACAACAATGACGTATGTACCCTTGGCCCGCTAACCAATCTAGCAAAGCTTCCAGTTTCAGAGCCCGACAAATCTGCTATCACCGCCCCTGGCGCAGGCCTACAGGAGACGTTCGTCCGTAATGTTTAGTGACGTAATTCTGTTACACGGCGAAGACACTGCGCCAAATCCACCCAACAATTCCAACAGCCTACTCTTGGACAAACGAAATGTGTGTTCCAGCGAGAAAATGACGCAAACAGGTAAGAGCCAACTGTAATCGTTTCTCTACAGGAGTCACTTATAGGCGACGGCAACATCTGGCAGATATCTTCGTTACCAACGCCACAGCAGCAGATCACTAGCGAATGCTGCGAATTGCTCAACGGGGAGGCGATGACTTGTCAGGAGTTGCTCGCACTAGGCGCCATTAATGCCGCGTTGCCTACCGGGCAGATTTCGCTCGACACTTTTTTAGGTACCCTATCCAAAGGCTTAAATAACCGCTCCAATGTCGAAGATATGTACCTGCAACAGTTGCCGGAAGATAACTTCTCCTGCTGCCAAGATATGTGGCATTGCGAGTCCGAGTATAAAAACACGAAACGGTCGCGTTTTTACATTTCGGTTTGCTTAATGGTGAAGGGCATACTGAAGTGCTTGCATTGTCTGCGGAAGTATATCAAGATGTTGGTCGAGCACAAGTACTTTCAGCAGGGGATCCTGTTGGCGATCTTGATCAACACGCTTTCAATGGGCATCGAGTATCACGAGCAGCCCGAAGGTCTTACCGCCTTTGTCGAGACTAGTAACATAGTGTTCTCGGCGATTTTCGCGATTGAAATGTTACTGAAGGTAATCGCCGACGGGCTCTTCGGCTACATCGCTAACGGTTTCAACGTTTTTGACGGGGTGATCGTGATCTTAAGGTGAGCAACGGACCTCCATCATTAGCCTAAAGTCCATCATCACCTTTCAGCGCGATCGAGATTTGCCAGAAGTTTTTCGGAGACTCGCACGGCGATTCGGGACTCTCCGTGCTGAGAACGTTTCGTCTCCTTCGAATTCTGAAGTTGGTCAGATTTATGCCGAACTTACGTAGGCAACTATTTGTAATGTTGCGGACAATGGATAACGTCGCTATTTTTTTCTCACTTCTGATACTCTTTATCTTCATCTTCAGGTAAGTCGTAGAAACACCAAAAGGGCTACGAAAAACAAATGAAACAAACCAAAAACACAAACAAACAACTCGATTATTCACATCGGTTAAGGTAGGGGTGGCAATTGATGACAGAAAGCGGTTAAATGAATGTACCTACCTATGTTTTCTTTTCCTAGAATAGTGAATATCGGTGTCTCTTTTTTTGCTGAGATAACTCTGTATTTCATTATCTACATCATTTATACTTCTCATACACTCTGTCTCTATCTCTCAAACACTCCTAAACATTTACTTATGCCAGCTCGACTGCACTATACCTAGACAGCACTTTGTACATATTCACCATATTAAGCGCTGTACATATGAGCTTACCTTTTAATATTTAGGTATCTTGACGTTCAAGTTCAAGCAATCAAGATTAGTAGATACCCAGTGAGGTGCACACATGGTTTCATCATTTGCACTAAAACATTGCGAGTTACGAGGTAGGTTCAGGCATTGAATTCACTCGACGGTTTCAGGTAAAAAACAGTTCAAAAATACACTCGTTATTATTATATGCTTAGGTACCATAAAATTTGCAAATGCCAAGCACCTGATGTTCTCGGTGTGGGTTTTTGTATTCGCGAACAAGGCTTCTCCTCCTGCCAAAGTTCGCAGGTTGGAGGACTTCAATGAGACATTGTTATGCATATTTCGGAATAAAAAAGAAATGGCTCCATTGCACCACTTTTTTGGGCGGCCATGTTGTCATTTAAAAAAATTGCAAAAACATGTTCTTTAACCTGCAAATCAATACCTATCTCGGACCGTTTCAGCGGGATAGCCTTTCTCCTTTTGAAGATCTTTATATTCCAAAAACACAATTAGAAGATGTAGGTATTTATTCTTTGAATAAAAAGAAAATAATTATTCTGTCGGTCAATTTTGGAGAATTATTATATAATTATGCTTGTGCAATATAAAGAACTTCAAAAGGTTATGGGCCCAGTTTACTCAAAGATCTGAATAAAGAAATCGCGCGTGGAAAAAGTACAAAGTCGAGTCGCGAATTAGGGTTTTACTAGCGGGTATTTGCATACACAAAGTGGAGGCAATAATAATTTTGGCTCTTCTAACTGCATTTTTAATTACAATCATTGTCACCGAAGCGGTACAGAATGTTGGCCCAAAATAGACTAAAGTATCTTTACATATTGGTTCAGAATTAGCAATCGAGATTGGTTCTGCATAACGTAGGAACGCTTGGAAATATTAGGCCAATATAGAAAAGAATATTGGGCCAACATAGCAATTTATGTTGGGCCAATGTACCTAATCCCCAATGTTGTAGGAACCAATATTGGGTCTATATATCTTACAACATTGCGCCCCAACCCCAACCCAAAAAGCAACTTTGGCTCAAAAGAATTATCAACAATGAATCAGTTAGGACTGGACAATTAATTAGAGCCATGATGGTTATTCATACTATCAGTTTAATAAGAAAGTAGCAATCCAAGTTGCACATTTTAAATGTTTACAAAATATTTACATAAGAATGTGACTGTTTTTTTTGTCTTCTCAAAATCGAAGAGAAAAAATTCCCAACATGAATACTATTTAACGACGATTTATCGAACGATTTAAAATTCTTACTATCGTTAACATTAAATTTCTTAACTAAACATCTCTTCTTATTCTAATTCCGAAAAAGTTAAATTCAGCATTTGATAACTTTTTTATTTTAATGTTTCGCATAATTTTATCTTTAAATGTTCAATAAACTCACCATTATTACATGTAATCAACATATCATCGACATAAAGAAGCAAATAACATCGTGTACCTTGTCCCAGAAAACTATACAAACAATAATCAGACTTAGAACGAATAAAATCTTGACCAATCATAAAATCATTAAACCTTTCGTTCCACGCTTTAGGGGCCTGCTTTAGCCCATCGATTAAGTAATCAAACTTTATTTTTGTCGTTGCCTGAAACTGTTAACCCTTCTGGTATTTTCAAGGCGTTTTTTTTAAATCTAACTGTTCCAGAAATAAATTATATTTATTGCAAATTGAGAGTAAAATTCTTAAGGTAGATAACCTTGCCACAGGAGCATGTATTTGCCAAGATCACCAAAAATATCTTGTTCAAATCCTCTGGGAACTAACCTCGCTTTATATAATACCTCACCTTTGCTATCCTGCTTAAATTTAAAACCCATCTATTACAATTATGTCACCCTCATTCTTTGGTTTTAAAATTAACTTCCATGTATCATTTTCTTTTATAGTATATGGGCCAACTGGCTAAATTTAAGGAACTGGTATAATTTGGGGGGTACCAATTCTCCTTTTTACCACGGTTAGCCACATATATTTTATAAAATCAACTATATCTCTAGAACTATTGGTCCGACTTCATCATTTTCATAAATGGAAGCTTTTGTGTGTGCTACAATATTGTCATAACTACTTTTTCGATAAAATCAACGATTAATAACTAATGCATAAAGTAAACGAACGGTAATTTTTTTAACTCTCAACATTTAATGAAAACTAAATCAACCCCTTCGTTAAATTCAAAAGTTTCATATACACTAAAATCTGCTACTTCTTCCTCTTCTTCAGTGACGTTTTCACAAGTTGGCAGTTTGCATGCGTTGTGCACTTTAAGTCATTAGCATTACATAATGGTAGTTATCAAGAGCCAGCTTGGTAATTCTACGTGAGGTGATATGGGAGCCAAGCTTAGGGTTATCTTTCATCTTCTTTGCTGCTTCCGGATCTCTTTGATTTTGACGTACAATTTTCCAATGTATTTTTTGTTTTCAAATAATCTATGTCAAATTATCTAGCGCAATATACACCTTTCCATCAATATTAATATATTGTTTACGTTATAGCTAAAAGCCGTATTTGATCGTATTTATTGCAAGACAATCAGTCTTGTCGGTTGTAAAGTTCTTGTTTAAAGTTAAGCGGAAGCGTATTTCACGTTTTACGAAGAAGTCGAAGTGGTGTGTTTATCGAGCAGGCGTCGCTTATGTGAAGCCTTTCTTTAAGGTTTTCTCAGTACTCGTTAAATGGAGTTTTTTCACCATTAAAGATCCAATTTTACATCTGTAATTACAACGAACCCAGTGTCGTTCAAATCAAGATACAAGTTCAATTAAAGTAGAGAAGTGAAGTTATAGAAACATAATCCGCACATACCAAGTTTCTTATCAGTGTTAAGATGAAGAACCTGAAGTAATGGTTCCATAGATCGGCTTTCCTTCTTATATTTATATTGAATTCGTAGGCCTGATTTTGTTCGTTCCAAACGCTTCTGGATTAGTTGTTATGAGATTGACCTTTCACTATCAGAAGAAGCCTGCAAATTCTTACTTACTTACTTCTATTTCACAGTGTACAAGAGTTTATCCAATTTATCTCCTAGTGTAGTAGACGGTAAAAATTTTTGTAATGCAACGTTATATAACACCGCCTAAGATTGCCTGTATTTTGGAGAGTGCAATTCACTAAAAGCTGAAATCTCTCCACGTATGATACATATATTTTTGCATATTTTTACCATTTTCGATTTGCAACAGTTGCGATTAAATCGAATTTAGTTTTGCATATCTTGCTTATTCTGATATTCTTTGAATTTACATGATAGACTTGCATATTTTGCATAGTTTACCTAAGATGTATTTCAATGTTTGTTAGATTTAATCGATTTTAATTTGCATTTTTAATACATTTTTGCGGATTTTTATAACGGACGCGATCATGAAACATACTGCAATAGCCGGAAGGACGATTTATTGATTTAATTGATGTTTAATTTCATAATTTCCAAACTATTTTTTCTTTCTCTTTGTCTACAGTGTTGATGGGTGATATTGTGGAAGGTTTGGAAATTGCTCGCAATAGTTTGTCGTTTTCTAATGCACCTATTACTTTTGTTGATGTAGAGAGAAGTTTCTCAAGCATATCCATTTATGTGACTGATAGTTTGAAAGATTTCCTGCTGCTAAAAAGTGTTCTATTTCTTCAAAAGGTCTTATTCTTTATGATGGGGACTACTGCGACCTGTATTGTTTCCAGGTTCTATTTATCTCCATCTCTCAGTTCTTCTATCAGTTCTTGCAGATGCGATTTCAAGCAGTATACTTGCCCGAAACACTTTTTCTCAAATTCTTTCACATGCAAGGACCTTCAATTGCTCTTTTGATGTGTTTACCGTCAAGGAGAACAGTGCCATTAAGTATACTACCATCTGCAGTGTCTTCAGCAAAGTCAAGATTGTCTGCAGCCCAAATTATACTACTTTTCCAAGTTTAAAACACGACTATAATCAATGATGGTCGATTGAAACTCTCCTTCATTTTTCTTCTCTGTCCACTGCCTGATCACAAAAAAACTTCTTTTTCGTAAGCAACGGTTTATGACCTACCTTGTAACTTCCACATTTCGTTGAATACACTCTGTGGATGCCTTTTACTCTGTAGACGTTGACTGAAAACACTTATGTACTTGTTTTAAAGCCTATCAATTATACTTGTGTTGATAACACTTTTGTAACAAGATCGTAAATAACGTAGGATTATTACTGAATTGCGCAAATTTCCCACTTTCTAGAGCTCTATTATTCATACCACAACCTGAAACATACATTCACTTGGATATAGATTGAAGTAGGCGTACTCTAATTCGCCATAAAGTGACTTCAATACAAAACAATTCTTTTAAACAACGGGAAAGGGAAATTGATATTATATTGTCTCGATAAGAAACTTTTCCTCAAAATCCGGTGGCCGGATGTCAGATCTGGTGGTTTAACATGTGGCAGAGATAAGGCGGCCCATTTTCCTTGTTGTCCTTTCAAAACTTGAAGTAGGTATACAAAATTCAAATTTACAGAAATAGATTACGTTGAATAATATAGACAATCTATGTGTAATTCTATATTTCTACACCTATGTAAAATAAGTAATGGATAAATGAACTGTTGGGACAACAGCAGGACGTTTATTTTTCATCTAAAAGTAGATTATATATTTTTTTAGTGATGTCTGGTAATCCTTTTCTTGGATTCTCATTGGATTGTCAAAAAATTGCTTGGGGTTCACCATGTCCTTGAAGTAATACAACTTAAACGTAACAAACCACAATATAAACTTTAAAGTTAATAAATAAAAATAAAATCAAAAATCTTGTCTGAATCTATCTCGTAACAAACTATGAATAGGTATGGTATAAAACGAAAAGGGAGATTACAGATTTACATGCACAGTATAACTTAACTCACTTTATAGATGTATTTAAACAATAACATTCCTATTTAACAAGAGCCATTTTGGCTGTTTTAGTATCCTTGGTATGAACCTTTTCGGGTGCAAGTTTTGTCATCTCAAAGACGACCAGGGTAAATGTCCATCTATCGAAGACGATGATGACAAGGATAGAAAAAATTTCGATTCCTTGTTGTGGGCGATTGTAACAGTTTTTCAGGTACTACCTTTAATCGGTTTTGCACTTTTAAACCATACGAGATTTTTGCTTTGACACTTTCTTTTTGGCGGTGTGCGCACAAAAATGTCGTATCGTCTGCATATCCTCGACAGACTTCAGGTAAGTACTTTTTTTGTCTCAACTTTTCTGTTGCATGTCGTGTGCTTTTCTCTCACTTTCCTCTTTCGCTTATGCTTAAACGGTGTTTTGTATATGACATTTACCCACAACGCACCTTTTGATTTTTCAATCTGTCACCCCTACCACTAAGACATAAACACACTTATGTGGATTTTAGTTATACCTTGTAGGTTTAGAGAGCCATTAAAAGTAGTTAGAAAGTACCTACTAAAGAAATCGTTTTCGTATTTAGTAGACCATTTAAGCTTATTATCATCAGTAGACTTGTCAGTAATACGTATCTGCTTTCTGATGCACAAAAATTGTGGCTTTACAAACGTTTCCACTTTGGGCCACTAAGTTCGGTATGGGTGACAAAGTTAATCGGTCACGTTAGGTTTTGAAATTTAAATAATTGTGTTATTAATTTAGATTTAATTTTAAACAATTAACAAATCAGTATCTGGATGTTTTGGATTTTGGCAGCATACTGGGTATGTACCTGTTCGGTGGTAAGTTTTGCAAGTATACAGATACAGAAGGGAAATCGCGCGAGTGCACCTGCACCATGATCGTCACCCACGACAAGCGCTGTGAGTGCGATCGAAAACATTTCAACGACATCCTATGGGCGACGGTCACTGTCTTTCAAGTGAGATAATTTTTATATTATCTTTCGGTCCCTTCGGTCAGACCATTTCGTAATCTCTTTCTTTCTAAACGTACCCACAGATCTTAACGCAGGAGGATTGGAATATGGTGCTCTCCAATGGTATGGCGAAAACGTCTCATTGGGCTGCCTTGTATTTTGTTGCATTGATGACGTTTGGCAACTACGTTTTGTTTAACTTGCTGGTTGCCATTTTGGTAGAAGGTTTTAGTTCGGAGAGAAATGAGCGACGAGAACGGGAGCAAAGGGAGTTGGCGAGGAAAATGTCTTGCATGCTCGAAGCGTACAAGAGAGGCGCCTCGGATGGAAGCAGTCGATCGATTTCGACTTCGAGCGACAGTGGCCTACACGTGAGTAAATGACGATAATAAGCGCAAATTTACTTGCATCTTTAGGGGATGAAGAACGCTTGGCGCTCCGCCGAAGATTTGCATAAATGTAAAGACTTCAACGAGCCTCGGTGCTCATATTCTTGTGCCCACTGTGAGTGCCGCGAACGCGACTACTACTTCACCAAGGTGCTGGATTGCCACGCGATCAGTGATCCTAAATGTAACATCCAAAAGGAATCGTTTATGCTGAAGCAGCCAAGACAAGTAAGTAGCGATTTAAGCTGCAATCCTTACTCACTACATCCTAGGCATCGCCTCCTGTGATAACGCACACTGCTGCAACCCCTCAAGATTCACCCAACACCACTCTGGAGGAGTATCCAGAATTCCGCTACAGCGTCTGCGCACCCAACGAAACGATATGCGAGAGCAACATTTGTGATAACCCCAAAGTCTCTGTAAGTCTTCCCCAGTTTGAAATACAAGGTGACGGCAAGCTCACTTTGCAGAACAATGGCGTATCCGGCCTACTAAAACCGCCATCCCTATCGCCGCCGCCCGTTACCTTTCGCCAGTTTGAGAAACCGCCGGACGAGCCAATAAAAATAACCGCCGCCACCAAACTGATAACGCACAATGAAAGAGTCGGATCGAAAATCACGACGTTCTCCGAAAAGGTCACGATGCCAAATGATACCGCGAAACTCGATTTTGGCGAACCCGAAAAGTTAAAGATTCAACGAAGTTACTCCTGGAAGTTGCCCACCAGGTCTAGTCTTCGCAAGAAGAAGTGCAGAAGTGGATCCGATTCCGATGCCGTCCCCTTAAATAACGGAAGAGATCGTGCACAATGCAATGGATCGGGGATCGCGCGACATGTAAGTACGAATCCGTAAAAGGATCATAATTGCTACTCCAAATTCTGTGCCCGTATTATTAAAAAATACTAAGAAATGGCAAATTTTGCGTTGTATTCTTTTAAGGGATGAAGATATTGACACCAGGGGATACTATGCTCAAAACAGTCTTAGTACGGTAGTGCCAAAATAGCTCACTTATAGTGAAACCAGCACGAAATTTAACAAACTAAATTTCCTAAAAAAAGTTGACCGGTGACGAGTAAGGGTTGTATACATGTGCGCCCTCCCTTGACCAATCGCTTTTCCAACCGGTCCGACAGATTTTCCAACCGGTTGATCAAGGGAGGAAATGGAACTTTGAATTCCCCATAAGAAATAGCATGCGATTTTGAGCAGAAGTGGCCCCGAACTCTCCTACCCCATCTACTTAACGATCTTAGGGGTCCCCCAAGCCGGCAGGGCAATCTCAAGCTTACTCTGTCCTTAGAGCTGGAGAAAAAGAATATAAGCAGAGCCATCTAACTTTCATTTCTAAACGACGAACGTTTTGCGGCACTTTCGAATCTCGGTGGCAGTCGACTAGGTCTGGATGGCACGAATAGGCTCCTACCTTGTGTAATACTGGTGATGCTTTTTATGTGTTGGGACGTAGGACGTAATAGGGGAGGGAATTGAACAGAGATGTGCCAGGAAAAAGGAAATCCTGGCATTACCCACACAAATTCAAAAAATAAATCACAACTAGGGCAACAAAATTTTTAAAAACGCAAATCCAACATCGCAAATCTATTCGTAATAAAAATCAGGTCATTGGATCAAATACAAATACAAAAAAATAATAAAAGCGACATCATAAATGCAAATGGAAAACACAATAAATCAATTTTAAAATGCGTGGTCTACTTCGACCTCTGCCACGATTAATTTAACACGATAAGAGCTTATTATTTCCATCTACAAATAATCTGTTGGTGTAGTTTATTTTCTAATTTTGGACGGTACTGTATCTTGATATTCAAAGACTGATACGAATTTAATTTAGCATTTAGCAAATGTGTAATAAAGGGACTTTATCAAAGTAAAATTTAATTAGTTTCGAGTTACAGAAGAGGAGGTGATTTCATGCTGGTTTCACTAACTGCACTGTTTTGCCATTTATATTGCTGTGTGCAATGGTATGTGGTCACTATACCACCCAGCAGACACTTACCTAGCTAGCTCAAATTACACAAATTAGTTTTTGTCCTTTTTACATTCTCCTAGGCACGACCGGGTTCAGACACAACCAGAAAATCCTAACATTGACTTATACCTCTTATAAACTTGAAACTGAAAGAGCCACAATCAAATTCCGTAAATTTCCATGAAACCACTATTCAAATTTTGAATAAAATCGGAAATAACATTCGGATAAAAAGAAATGAGAAAAACCTGACATAGAAAACTAGAACCCAACCTGGATTTCAAATTGGGATTAAAATTTGCTCCATAATGGAAAAATTACAAGAATTTATTCTAACATATACCTACATCACAATTTATTATTATTGTTATGGTTGGTGTTTCTACGTTGCTACGTTTTTTATTTTTTAAATTCCATAGCCTACGGGACTACCGGTACCAAAACTAGCGTCTTCATTCTTCCTATTTAAACAAAAAACCCCTTAGTTATTCCCGACGAGACTCGAATTTCCATCTATGCCGCCAGAACTGATAAAACACCTGCATCGCTTATCTTGCACGTGGCATTGTTCGTCGAAATACCAATTATTTCTTGTCCGATAACAACTTTTTATCAACACCTAACCAGATAAAACTGTAAAACTCACGTGAAAATTTCCATTATATTTTCTCTAAGTTACTCGTTTTAAAGTTATCATACAAACTAAATACAACAAACGAAATTTAAGAATTAAATAATTACCCACTAAATTTACAATAACAAACTAATGTTTCCAATTCTGTATCTATTTGAAATAAAAAATTCTAAATTCTACAAATCCGACTTACAATTCGAAATTTTTATTTGCAATTCAAACTCTTAAAAAACCCTGGGACTCTTCGGCACTTTTATGTGAAAGCAATAAACTGAATTTTAGGCAAGCCTTCGCAATGACTCGCTGCTTGAGTCCTCGATACGAATCCAAAATGACACCCAGAAGGACACGCCGAACAACAAAACCGCCCCAAACACATTTCGCAACAGGTCCAACACGTACAGTCCCATGTCTCAGGTGAGCATCACTAACCGAACGCCACCATCTATAACCGTTACCTCGCAGGTGAAATGGACCCGTCAAAATTCGCTCACTTCGAATTTGGCGAAGGAGTCGAAAATTAGTTCCTTTCAGGCGCAATTTACGAAGAACGCCAACCCGACGGTTACCGGAAAGCACGACTATAGCGTCGAACCGAAATCGGTAAACACGGGCGCCTCGGAGCGTTCGCTGCCGAAAATCAACCTCGAGGAGCTTTCGGACAGTTCGAAGATGGACGAGAAGGTTTCGAGGTGGAAGAAGCTCCTCATATACATTGAGCCGAAGAGCTACATGAAGGAGCGGGATGAATTTTCGTTGTACCTTTTCCCTCCCCACAATCGGTGAGTATCTATGTACTTGTGTTCGCGTGGTGCTCACTCAGTCTTTAGGTTTCGCAATTTGTGCACTTGGCTCGTCGATCAGAAGTGGTTCGATAACGTCGTTCTGCTGTTCATTGCCATGAATTGCATTACGCTCGCAATGGAGAGGCCTAATATACCGCCAAATAGTACCGAGAGGGTTTTCTTACAGACCACCAATTACGTGTTCACAGTAGTTTTTGCAATTGAAATGTTCATAAAGGTACGTCAATTTGGTGGCTGCACACCACTGCCATTTATCTCGTTTAAGGTTGTGTCTTGGGGTATGTGTTACGGACCGGATGCCTACTTCACCTCTGGTTGGAATATTATGGACGGCTCCTTGGTGATCATATCCATAGTTGACCTTCTGATATCGTTAGTCAGCGAGTCGAGTCCCAGAATCTTTGGCATACTAAGAGTGTTTCGGCTGTTACGATCTCTTCGTCCACTCCGAGTCATCAATAGAGCACCTGGGCTGAAGCTAGTCGTACAAACCTTGTTATCGTCCTTGCGCCCCATCGGAAATATCGTCCTTATTTGCTGTACGTTTTTTATCATCTTCGGAATTCTCGGCGTGCAGGTAAGCAGTGGATGAGGTAATCGCGACGCTCAGATTGAGTTTTTTCAGCTGTTCAAAGGCTCGTTCTACTACTGCAAGGGCGAAAATGCGAAAGGTGTCCGAAATCGAACGGAGTGCTTGGATCTTCCGGGAAATACGTGGGTGAACCAGCAGTATAATTTCGATAACTTGGGCAAGGCGCTCATGTCCCTTTTCGTACTGAGTTCGAGGGACGGTTGGGTCAACATCATGTACACGGGTCTGGATGCTGTCGGGGAAGATCAACAGGTGAGCACAGCACACTATGGGCTATATCTTAGGGGCTGGTATTACAAAATAATTCAATTCCAGCCGATTATCAACTACTCGGAGTGGAGGCTGCTGTATTTCATCGCGTTCATTCTATTGGTCGGCTTCTTTGTGCTAAACATGTTCGTGGGGGTCGTCGTCGAAAACTTCCACAGATGCAGAGAGGAGCAGGAGAAAGAAGAACGAGTGCGGAGGGCGGCCAAACGGGCTCTACAGTTGGAAAAAAGGCGTCGAAGTAAGTAACGCTAAGATCTCGCCTGCACTGACGCCTCCTGTTTCAGAAATGAACGAGCCCCCCTATTACATAAACTATTCACCGTGGCGCCTCTTCATTCACAGCGTGGTAACATCGAAGTACTTCGACCTAGCGATTGCGGCGGTCATAGGATTGAACGTTGTAACCATGGCGACCGAAAGTTATCGAATGCCCGACATTTTGACTTACATTCTGAAAATTTTCAATTACTTTTTTACCGCCGTTTTTATACTTGAGAGCACCATGAAGCTGATCGCTCTCGGTTTCGTGCTGTACATGAAGGACAAGTGGAGCCAGCTGGACGTGGTGATTGTAATACTATCGGTAGTGGGTATCATTTTAGAAGAGCTCAAGTCTAACATTATCCCAATTAACCCAACCGTTTTGAGAGTAATTCGCGTAATGAGGATAGCGCGCGTCCTCAAACTGTTGAAAATGGCGAAGGGAATCAGGGCGCTGCTGGATACGGTGATGCAAGCCTTGCCACAAGTTGGAAATTTGGGACTGCTGTTCTTTTTGCTGTTTTTCATTTTTGCGGCGCTAGGTGTGGAGCTTTTCGGTCGTTTGGAGTGCTCGGATAGGCATCCATGCCAAGGTAAGTTTGAGGCGATCAATAATGTGGTCTAGAGGAGGTATGTTGCAGGACTCGGCGAGCACGCTCACTTTTCCAACTTTGGTATGGCATTCCTCACGTTATTTCGTGTTGCGACCGGAGATAATTGGAATGGAATTATGAAAGATACTCTTAGGGAGGATTGCGATGACAAGGCGGATTGTGTGAAAAACTGTTGCGTTTCGGCTATCATCGCACCAATTTTCTTCGTGATTTTTGTGCTCATGGCGCAGTTTGTGCTCGTCAACGTTGTGGTTGCTGTAAGTTGTGCGGCAGGCACACGCTCACCGCTAGCTCGGTTTTTTGCAGGTTCTGATGAAACACTTGGAGGAATCGCACAAGCAGATGGAGGATGAGCATGATTTAGATACTCAACTGGAACGCGAAATGCAGCAGAAGCACGAAATGGAAGAGCAACGCGAGCTATGCTTGGCTCTACAAATGGATTCCGAATGCTTTCAGCACAGAAAGCCCTTAACTAAGGTCCTGTCATTACCATCCAACTTCACTTACAATCCCTCCGGATCGAAACAACAAGAGCGCCAGCCTAGCCTTCGGGCACGTCGCCAAACTCTCCACAGTCACCAGCCAATCACGCTTTCTCATTTGGACGACATTAAGGTGATCGACGAATCCGTTTCGGACATCTACAACATAAGTGAAATGTCGCACTTCTCCCCCCACGAAACGCACGACCGAAACGGCTTCGTCCAAACCCAAACAGACTTAGATGACATAATCAACGTCTCCCAACACGAACACCTGCTACGCTTACCGGACATTGACGAAAAATGTCCCCTACCAAACATCAACGAGTCCTGCGACACAAACCTCCTCCTAGGCGTACCGACCGAAACAAAACCGCTACACCGACTCTACGGCAGCACGAAGCAGCTCTTCGTCAAGCAAAGATCGTTCGACATACCCGAAGAGGTGCCGTTCCTTTCGTCGGCGCTACCCGACGCAAAATCGGAGACCGACATTTACGACAGCGATTTAAAAATATTGAAAATTCCGAAACACGACTCGCAAGAAAGCGTGCAACGAATCATAACCGAAAGAAGAAAACTAGACGAAAACCTAAAAGATATTAACCAATACGATATTTTTGATATAACGCACGGTAGCGAGGAGAACTTAGTTAAGACCGACTCGGACGATAGGCAGGAGTGCGAAATTTATTCTGAATTACAGGAAGCCGAAAATGACGACTGCTAAAGAGTTTTTATCCAAACTATTTTTGTACTTAGTATTACGAACGATACTCGTTTTATTTGTGTAGGTATTTTAATGTTTTTACTTCACAGGATTAATAGTGCGTAAATAGGTAAGACAATTTTCTCTTGTGGTCTGAATATCCTAATTGCTTGCGCAGTAGGAGACTCTCGTGCCCATTTGATGCCGATGTTCCACAAAAATAGTGAGGCCTCAATGTTTTACGTAAACTGTTCCTATAGTAAGCATCAATTCGATGTATTATACTTATGGCATTCAGGTGGTGAGTTTGAGCAACCAATTTCTTAATCTGGCCATATTCAAATTGTCTGGGCCACATACATTTAAGGGAAACAGGGTACATTTTGTATCACTTTAATTGTTGCTCTTTCTACATCTTCCATGTTGAGTCAAACCCTATTTAGTTTCAACTCGTTTGAATGGATTTTTTTCTCACGACCCATTTTCAGTATTTGTATACCTTCCGTTTTATTATTTAGCCATAGAATAATGCAACCTGGCTATAATGTAATAATTTCTGTATATCCATCCAGTTCTTGTACGTACTTTTATTACTGATCTACTTTTGCAAGTTGAATTCTAGGTTAGTTAGTAGGGGTAGAGAGATAAGTAAGAATGGATGTTCGCGCAAACTTTTCATCTTGCCAAGGCGCCAAAATCAATAAATCGATCACTTACAGTACCCCAGGAGTGGCAATTCTGCACTATGTGGAAATAGAAGCCAGGCAGTGGGGTTTTTAGCATATTAACACAAAAACTTTGTTTTAGAAATTGTGAAACGATGTAACTTAGGCAAAAAATCGAAATCAAATCAATGTTAGTGTCTTTTCATACTGGCGAATTTCTGTGGTAAACTATTAGATAGAATATTGTAGAGTAAATTACTCTTAAATGTAAATATAGTATTCTGGAGGACGCAATAATTCTGTTGGTGTAAATTACAAGGTTCATTTTACCACTACTTGCAGATCACGGGAAACAAGTTGACATAAAAGACAATCCTAACAGAGCCTTTGGCTTTAAAGTATATTTTCCTTTTCGCTTGTATTTTAAATTAGTTTAAATGATCTGAGGATGATAATAACATTTGCTATTATTCTCCGAGGTTGTCTGTGATATATCTCTTTCTAATTAGAAAAAGTTTCCGAATTATATCTAGCTTTTAGACTTGCACTCGTTAATGGCTCTCATTTAACATGAATCTACTGACACTCCCGCGGCGGTTTCATTTCAACAAACACCGAAATCCTTTATTTTGGCAATAAGAGACATATCAGCACGGGAAGCGAGTGTCAGCTGGAGCTGGTTTAGAAAATTCACAAGGAATTAAAATCAAAAAGTGCTGTAACTGTAGATATTCTAGTAGATTAGAATCTTCTTCTACCCGTGCCTTTAACTCTCTGAATAGAGTACTATAACTTCTTCTACTTTCAAGCGATTAATCGTAGAAGTTAAATTGGCTGTCTGTATTGTAATTAGTTGTAGGTTAATCTTAGTTAATTAAGTGATGATGGGAAAATAAAATATTGCGGTTGTAATTTCATTTTATTTTTCACCAAATCCTCTCGAACTCAATTGTCCAGGTAGTCATGACAATATAATATAAAAAAATTGTCACAAATGTAAAGTGTTTACCTTTGCCGCCAGTACGTTTACGTACTGGTTAACTGAGCATAAAAAATTTTTTATTCAATGGTTTGGTATAGTCAACGGAAAGGCTATGTGTGTATTGTTTACAAATTATATGTGATCCATGAGTCCCAGCCCAATCCCACTGGAAAACTGGAACGTTTTTGTCCCGAACCATAGTTCTACGTCATAGACCAGAAATAAAACCACTCTTCTATAAAAGCAGGTGAGTAGGTATTTATTTAATGTCATCTCAGTACTAAACTACGTAAAAGTAGCTGTCCATGGTTATAGAAATGTCGCTTTTCTACAACACTGATTCCTTCACACCAGATGGGTTTCGGACTGACGAGCACCTAAATCTCTTAGTTTTCCGTCGCCATTCTGCAATGATAATCGCAATTCTTCCTTTGGTATAGAAATATACACTTTTCAGGGCACATCTTCACAGCAATGTCTTGGTGTATGTCTCTGCTGCCTTTTTAATTTTCCTCTTTAGAAAAAAATTGATAACAGCGGTGCTTTTGGACAAAGTACAGAAAGTTTAATCAATCATTTGGTCAAATGAACAAAAAAGAATAAACAAAAGCGTCCGGAAGTGACGACTTGCACCAAGAAAGAAATTTTGTCTGCCTTCATCTAAAAAAGTTACAGTAAACAATCAATTTTTTCATGTTACATAATATTACACTTTTGCCGTTTATTAACGATCCCACAGATATAATTTTGCATTGTCTATCTGCCTGTTGTCTGTCTGTCCTCCTGCCTGCCTGATCGTCTGTCCATGTGCATCACGATAACTTTGAGCAGAAACGTCGAATTGGTTTAAAAATTAGTACGCATTTTCTCAAGGATAGGTATAAAAAAGGTCGCTTTTGTTTTTCAGCTACGTAGACTAGCGGGACAAAAAGTTACAACCCAAAACCTAACCAAACCTTCAAAAAATGGGGTTACTTACTGGCCTCTTGTTTCCCACATCCTTTTTACTTGCACTTCTTCTCCGAGTCGGTTGCAGATGTCCCCACCAGCTCAGTTGTCTTTGTTCTATACATTTTAGAACTGGCCGACTTCTGGATTGTTTCGTTTCTGATTCTATATGTAATCTGGTGATCCCCATAAAGTATTTTCATTTCTGTTGCTTGTATTTTCCTTTTCTACTTTTTTTTTCTCGCTTCCGATTGTGAGGATAGGTTTGCAAAACTTTATTCTGGGGTTGTATCGACCGCCTTTTCTAAATCGATGAAGGCAAAATGGGCATTTTTTTCCTTTTAATAATGACTTATTTATTATTTTTTGTATTGTGAACATGTGGTTTCAGGTGCATTATTATTGTTCCCCGTATCTTTTGTTGAATAATCCTCGTATCAGTTGTAACCTTGGAATTTGCAAACGCGTAGTTTCTCGCGCGAAATTTCTTACGGCGCGCGCCGCCAATTGTCACTAGACGTGATAGAGTTCACTTCGTTAAACAACTGAAGCATTAACGAAAACGAGTGGAATTGTAATTGCCGTCATCCGTATGTATTATTAATTATTTGGCGATTAAATTCGGTTAATTGGGGATTCCGCATCAATTTGGAAATTGAATTTCACCCCTTAACTCTGATATGAGGGGGATATGTTTGCGTTAACCTTCTGGCTTCATCGTAAGTACTCCATTTGCAATTTTAATCAGCTTGACTTATCTCTTTTCTTTGAGTTCCGGCTAATATTTAAACCGATTGTGGCACATTTATTTATACTTAACCCTCTTATTTAAGAGGTATGTACATTTTGAGGTTGTCAACGAACGAGGGTTGCATGTAATTTAATGGGAGGAACCCAAAGATTTTTCCCCTTCAGGAACATAAGATATCGCATTATTTATTTGTTAATTTCAGTATTTATGCGTACTCTATTGAGTTATGGTCGAGGTTGGTGCGCGGATGCGAGGGTAGTCTGCCCTTCCTTGTGAAGCGGGTTGTACGTTTCATTGAGCATACTACATAAATAAGCGAGGCCCTTCTGGCATTGTCATTTCAGGGTATTCCGAGCCCTGCGGCTTGGGAGATTTCTTTTATTTTCAGATTTATGGGAAAATCCGGGATCTGAGCTCACATCTCTGGATGGAATCAATTTAAAGTAAGGTAAGCGTTACCTTTTCTATGTTTTCTTGTACATATTTGGCATACACGTGTGAATTGTTGCCCGACTTTAATTTCCTTGTGAAAACTTGTTCTGAAGTCAATAGTTAGTAGAATCGATTATTCTTGATCAAAGCTTGGAATAGGATTCAAATTATTCATTCAAGTTATTAATTTTTGTATGTGTAATTTTTTGAACATTTGAATTTTTACATATTACGATATCTCCTTGGGGAGTTTATTTTTGATTTCATATCTAATAGCAATAAACCAATCTCTATTTTAAAACTTAAAATGACTTGTACTCTTTTTAATTCCCTCGTATCTTCTCAATTTCATACGGGGAGAGCTAAGCTATAAATTGCGTGGCACTCAACCTGGGTAAGTGCCACGAAGAATCCGAAGATCATTTTGCTCAGAACGAACTATCGCCGTGCAAGTTTCTCAAGCTCTTATTTTGTGTTTAACCCTGAGCTAGTTGGCCTTTTATGCGGCGTGTTCCTATTCCCCTATAATTTTAACATTATTTTGTAGATGGCTACAATTACTTACTTTTCCCAGTCGCGCGATATTCTTTCTTCCTTCCATGCCTTGTTAAAAATTTTTAGTAATAAGTGGCCTCCCTCTTCTCCAATTACTTTTACCATTTCTGCTGTTATTTTATCGTGTCCTCGCGCTTTTCCTGTTTTTAACATTTTAATACTTTCTGTTAGCTCTTCAATCGTTATCTTGTTGTTATTTTCTATTGTCTGGGTCTTTCCATGTCGTTCAGTTTCTGTGGCAGCTCCAACCTGCTCCACCTGATCATTATTTGTTGTCTTTCCGTACGTATCAGCCCGTTTTTATTTTTTATAGTATCTGTTTTTTTTTTGTTCTGCCTTTTCTAAGAACATTATGGTCTTGTAGAAAAGTCTCTGGTGACTTTTGCTGTCCGTTTTAATGTGTTCCCCGAACTGCGAGGCCATTCGGTACATTGCATTCCGATCTCTGCGGCTTGAGAGTTTTCTTTTGTTTGCAGGTTTATTATGGATCCGAGAACCGAGCTCACTTCCCTGGATGACGTTTAATTTACATTAAGGTAAGCGTTGCTTTTTTATGTTTTGCTTGTATTTGGTCTATACGTGCGCATTTCTGTTCGGAACATCAATTTCTTTGTGGAAACTTTTTTTAAGATCATAAGTAATCCATTTAATCTGGTATATTTCAATTTTCAAACATCCCATTGGGCTGACCATTTTTAGTTTGCCATTTAATAGTGACAATAAACCAGCATTTATTTTGGTACTTGAATTGGTTTGTACTCTTTGTAATACCGCCGTATCTTCTCAATTTCATGCGGGGAAAGTTAAGTTAGAAATTGTGTGGCGCTCAACCCTTTATTTGATAAGTCCACCGAAGTTAAGAAGATCATTTTATCGCGAACGTGGAAGATTCTCAAGCTCTTATTTTGTGTTTAACCCTGAGCTAGTTGGCCGTTGCGGCGGGTTTGAAGTAACCCGGCGCCAACTCTACCTACCCGTTATAATTTAATGATTTTACTTAATTAATTAATTTTATAAAAATAAAACAACTTCTATTTGAAACACTTTTTCGAATAAGACACTAACAGTCCCATTAAAATGACATTTAGAACTTAAAATGAGTCAAACGAACATTTTGAATAAATAAGAAGAATAATAAATAAGGACGGGCCCCTAAATCCCAGTGACACAAGCCCACAAAGATCTTGCTGTACCACTGAACTGTAAAGATAACACCCTAGTCAGGCAAGGGATGATTGATAACCTGCTAAGAGGACATAATTTCGACGTTTCGAACGAAAATTAAAAAAAAAACCAATTTGCATCTCAGAAAACAAATCTACTGCTTAAAATAGCAAACTTCACATTCACTGATTGACTGATACAAAATTGACTTTATAAATTTATACTTCAAGATCGTGTTAAAGAAAATTGTACATTTAGTATTAGGCTCGCATGAATTCAAACAGCTAAAGAATAAAATTTAGTAAACTACAATCGATAGAACCCAGTAAATGTTTCAAGGTGGCGCTACTGTACTGACAAAAACTAACTTTCACGTCAGCCTGTTAATTAATTCTGTTCTCCCAATACTAAATTCAGTATTTTCTTGAAGCGAGTTTGGTGTAAAGAGTACGCACGACGTTGGTACGGTATAAATAACATCCACAGCGTCGAACCAGGAAGTCGGCGTAAAAATTTATCTAGATATAATGAAATCGAAGTTATTGCAATTCCTTTCCTGTGTTTAAAAATCGTGGCCCTTCTAACAAATTTAGTCGTAATCGGGTTTACATAATCGGCCAACATTTTGTACTGATATACCGCATGTGGTTTGTGATATTCGACAAGAGCTATCTTTAGCGCATCTTTGCAAATTTGTGAAAAGGTAGCTTTTAATCTCACTTGGGCCGGCTGGCTGGTAGCAAATGCGGGTCCGTAGAAGAACGCGGAGTGTACATGTACCTACCGGAGCCGTGTAATTAACAACTTTAGGGACCGGTCTACATGATGTGGGGTCGGCGACATCAGGGGGTCATCTTCGAGAGTGTTATACTAACCTGGGAATTTTTCAGTTTATTCATATCTTCTTCTACGGTTTTGATCCGATTGTTTTCAAATTGGTGGCGTTGGAAAGAACTCCTGCGAGGCGGAATTTTTTTTTTACAAATATACTTTCCCTGATACAAATTTTAAATTTATACACGGAAGAGTTTTGAAGATCGCGTTAAAGTAAATTGTACATTTAGTATTAGGTTCACATGA